ATGTCTCTTTTATCTCCTCAATTTAAGAACAAATGCACTTATTTTAAGAAAAAAGGACTTATCTAGATTTGGATGTTTTCCAGTGTAGACAAAATTTCTACTTAAGCAAAGTAACAAAGTATTTTTACTTTGTTACATGACGCCTCTGTTTTTGTGTGTTTGTTTAGGAGCATTTATGTATTTGCCGCAGGTTTATGTTTGTGGTTTGTTTCCACTTCACTGCGCTTTATTTTCTGTTTTTTTTTTGAGTTAGTCTCATTTTAGTGTTTTTTTTGTTTGTTTCATCACAAGGACTTTTTGAATTCGATGTGAATTTATGCATTTGCATCATTTTTACACCCATTGACGGCTGTAAAAAAGATTGAATTTTTATGTCTGCTATGAGTCCTTAGTCATAGATGTGCTAATTCCAGTCCCCAGCAGATCTTTGGAGCCTCTCTAAGCTTTCAGTTATATTTGAAACATTTATGGCAGTGAAGTGATGCTACTGAATGAATTTTTTAGACAGTTTCTCTTCCTTTCTTCCTGTGTAGATCGGACTGGAGAATGAGGAGCAGAAACTGGAAATAAAGCGTCAGGTGACAGAGTTGACCCTCTCCCTGCAAGAGCGTGAATCTCAGATCAGCAGCCTTCAGACGGCTCGCCACGCGCTGGAGAGCCAACTCCAACAGGCCAAGACTGAGCTGGAGGAGACCACAGCCGAGGCCGAGGAGGAGATCACTGTTCTCAGAGTAAGGATGAGGGGAAGTAAAGAAGCATCATTTGCACTCTTTGGTGTGATGTCGGCTTGGCAGTGATGCCTCCCCGTCTCTCTTGCCATGTCTGCAGGCGCACAGGGATGAGATACAACGCAAGTATGATGCATTGAGGGACAGCTGTGCAGTAAGTCGCTCCTTTTTTTTCAGCTGTTTCTTTGTTTCGGGTAATGACAGCTTTCCTTCCCCTGCAGGATGATGCTCTGCATCATCACACTTACCCAAAGAAATCACAGTTTTCTTTCACCTCTTGCCCTCCTTTCTGCAACATATCATATTTCTGCTTTACTAA